TAGTTTTTTTTTTTTTTTTTTTGTTTAAGGGCCCTTTTCCGTCTGCTCATAGGGTTTAGGGTTTAGGGTTTAGGGTTTATTGTTTAGGGTTTAGGGTTTAGGGGTTTAGGGGCTTAGGGCTAGACCAGCGACCAGTGCAAGATGTGCTAGCGGCTAGCGATAGTGTCTGCGATGAGCTTTTGAAGGCAGTGAACAGCTGAAGAGCAGCAGCCGTAGCAGCAGTTTGCAGGCAAGAGGGCAAGAGTGACAGTGGCGAGGGTGATGGGAACACAATGGCATGGATAGACGGGAAAGCTTGGCCGCAATGACTGTGCACAAGCTGGGCGCCGATTCAATTCACCAGTAATCAAGACTTCAGATATTGGACAGCACTCTTTGAAGAATCATATCACGGATTATGTATATACATATACATCTTATGACTCTCCCTCTCACTGTGGTGTGTTTAGCAGTGAAGAAAACTGTCAAGTATCCATTGGTGCTTTGAATATACCTGACAAGATCACTGGGACCGGGGCGGCCGAGCCTAAGAAACTCGAAATGTGTGAACCTTTAGGGTTTAGGGTTTAGTTGCACACAACGACAATCTTGCGAAGCCCGGAGACTACCCACCGCCTCTCCCCGTGACCTGCGTAGTGCGCCGACTCACATTCCGAGTTCTGAAGGAACAGGCTGCAAAGTTTAGGGTTTAGGGTTTAGGGTTTAGGGTTTAGGGTATGTCTCTCAATATCTGTATCGTATATCGAGTTGACAGCTATGTACCGTTTTGACCTATGTCGCTAAACGCCTGGTTTTGAGGAACGCCACCTGCGACTTACGAACGTTCTTCACAAAGCTTGCAAACGTTTGCAAGCGGATCTCGTCAAAAACACAATCTACTCGGCCCTCATCGATTCTACCGATAGCAAAAAACAAAGAACCTGCATTGCTACCCGGAAGCCCGAAGGCCTTGCAGTGCGCCCTGCCTCGTAATCCAGCCCCAGTCGCAAGCGCAGGGCGCTATCGAACTCATACCTGATGCAAAGGCCCAGGCCAAAGGCGCGTATTCAATAATAAGGTTTCTGATCAATAGACGTCTTAGGGCTTAGCATGCGCTCTGTCAATCAAGCTCGGGCGCCGTTGTTTCTGTCGATGCCCGCACTCTGGGATACTCTTTGGGTGGGCACGTGCTCACTGCGCCGCTGTTGTTGGCATCGATGGCCTAGGTGAGCAGTTGCTGGAGCGGGAGGATGAAGGCGTATGCTCCCTGTGACGTAACAATGAAATTTGGGCCCAGGCCAAGAATGCTAACCGTGGGCCTCCACAGAGCCTGCACGTCGTGCAGGCTCGCTCTCCGATCGAATCTGCAAGGCCACACTCCCTTAGTTGCTGGGTTCATAAGCCCCGAAAGTGTACACTTTCAGTTCTATCCGCAAAAAGTGTAGCGTGTTCTCATTCAGCTATTAAGCTCCCAAAATACCCCCCTGAGGCATCCTGAGCCAGACTCCTGTCTTCCCCTAAACAGGATCGATGCCTCGCAAGCACAACCACCTCAGAAGGCCAGGGCAACCATGATTCATCTTCTGCAAAGTTCGGGTGGTTCAGGGATCTTCCCTCTTCGGTCAAGCCAGACGCAAATAGTACCCCACCACATAGGCTTCCAAAACCAACATTTCGAGCCCCATCTTCCCCGCATGATCTCCGATGACGACAGCCTATTGTTCCTGATGATTACGAGCAAATTCAGAGTCATCTGGAATAGCAAGCCGGGTGTGGTGCCAGCGCGGCCGCCCCAGCTAAGCCACTCTCCCTGCAGCGGGGTGTGGGCCCGTGATGTATATCATACACTGTACACACTAGAGGGACGATAGCTGGATAATCGTACCAAATATTCTGGAGTTTCTCCAGCTCAGACTGCTCCAGCGAGGTTGGGAGCTAGGGCTAGGGTTGCTTGTGTGCTTCGTTGCCGCTCGGACCACTCAAGGGCCACATAGAGTAGAGCCATCGTTGTGGTGAGGCCCTATACGCCCTTAACCCCTGAACCCCCTTAGTTAACCCCTAAACCCCTATGCCCTAAACTGCTGGCTTTCAGGAAGCATAGACCCTCCCCAAAGACCCTGAAGGTCCCACGATGAAGGTGGTCCCTTCAGGGTCCTGTATATACATATATATATATATATATATATATATATATTGTGGGGAATACTATTTTGCCCCAACATGTTTAGTGTTTCTAGGATGCTTCTCGTATATCGTGCCGTAGAAAACGGGACCTGCGCTACCCATGAGCCAAAGCTGTCTCCTCCCACCCTGCCATCTCCGAGCTCGAGTTTTTTTTTTCACGAAGGTCACCGTGCAGCAAGGTTTAGGGGTTTAGGGTTTTTAGGGGTTTGGGGGTTTAGGGTTTTAGCGTTTTTAGGGGTTTAGGGTTTAGGGCAAGCCTGTCTTGCCCAAAAATGCCTTGTCAGATCCCCCCTGTTGGGGTCATCCCCCAAATCCCTCTAAAACCACCTAAAACCCCCTAAAACCCCCCAAACCCTAAACCCTAAACCCAACCCAAGCCTGTAAGCGCCTGTAGATTCCCCAAGTGCTAGAATCCTCCCACCAGCCGAAGTTTCTGAAGAGGCCAAACCAGAAAAAAAAAAAAATATATATATATA